TTTCTTTTCCCTCCGCTCAAGACCTGCAACACTAGAATCTAGGGAGTGGGACGATGAAATTTAAAAGGCCTCACGAAAATTTCCGCCGCGAACCTTTTAAACATCGTAGAGAAGGAGAGAATGGCAGGGTTCTGTGCGAGCGTGCAATTCACAGGTGCGCAATGCGGTCCGAACAGCAAATGACCCTGTTTGTCACCCAAGCGTGAAGTCCTCCCCCCTCTTATTGCAAAAGTTCTCCCCAATTTTTGCATGTTTTTTCTTCGTTTCCTTTCGGCCGAGGGAAATGTTTCCTGTTTACCAGGGTCGTGTATGCCTGCTGCGGCTTTTTTCTTTCCCTGGGATCATGATTAACGTTGATTTAGTGCCGGGAAAGAATAAAGAAACCAAGGGCCTCGTCGTCGTCGTCGTCCGAGCGACGGAAAACTGCTGCGTCACTCATTTTAGCTTCTCTTACCTGCTGAGAAGGGGAGGGGGGGGGAAGTACCTTGAGTTCCAGCATGATAATGGGCGACACTGATTTCACTCAATTGGGTCTTCTTTTTCGCGGAAATCTTTTGTCAGGGTTTGCTTTCCGCATTTAAAGATAACGTGTGTCTTTTTGATCTTCCAAAAAGCCTGGTCCTTGAAAGCTTTTCTGGCTTCATCCCGGACGGAAGAAACGTCTTGACTACAGTATATACTTTGCCCCCGGGGGGATTCAATACTCCGTGGTGAATGGATTCATTTCACGCAATAACAAACAAACAGAATATTTAAAAAGACGTGTTTTTTTCTGTCTGGTAGCATGTGATGGCATTCTTTGACTTTATTTTTCAAAATAAGAGGGAAGCTGCATTCGTTTTTTTTTTGCGGATAATTATTTCATTTTTTTCTGGTCATTGTCCCGAGTTTTTTTTTTTTTTTTATCCAGCCTGAAATGAAGAGCAGACAAAGGCTTGGATATGTATTCCATGGGTGTAAAGAAGTATGGTTTTCTAGACAAACACACCTGTTTTCTTACTTTGAGAAGCAGTCGAAGTATTGTACTGTAATATCAAATATTTCAAGTAATTTATAATTATGTTGCACAAGGGTTATTTCTTTGTGTTGATCGCGCTGATTCTAAAGGTAACATCGAACTGACAATTGATAAAGAAATCATGAAAGGATATTGGAGAAACCCTTTTAAAATTATTCATTCCCTGTTTTTGACCTCACTGTATAAATATGATGCTTTTGATTCTTAAACTTTGGTTATAAATTACTTTGTTCCGTGTTAATGTGCTGTACTAATACATAAAGTTATTTGAACGAGCCCTAGTATCTTTTTGTGACTTCCCCGATTGCTTTTCGGTTTTATGAAATAGAGAGTAACATTGAAATGAAGCGACCGGAAGTCTTTCTATCTCTAAAAAATTTACATCGCCTTCGCAAGGTGGCATTTTTTGCTTCGATTTGCGAAGCTTGCTGCTGCTTTGTTGTTGGACGTACGTGTTGAGAGTGTTTTTCTTTTTAGTAATCCTATTACCACCCAGTATAGGGTGTGGAAAAGCATAGTGGAGCGAAAAAACCGACCACCTCGTAGGAGGATATTAACCGCATACAAAGAAGATGCATGAACAATAAACACGATACCCGTGGTAAGACGGAACTCGAGGAAGCGGAACAACGCCTGAGGCGAATCGTCCGCTTCACTGACTAGAAAATAAGCCAAGAAGAAGAGAACTTCCTTCGAACACACGTTTGATTCATTCCTCGGACGCATTCGGAAATTGCCTTCGAAGAATTTTTCCGTTATCATTTTCTGCAAGTCTTTTTGAATCAGTAATCATATACCACGCGAAAAGAGAAGCCGACCGATCTAAACCCTTTTTTTCTGCTGTACAATATTAAATATACAGTATGCATGTGATCGTCGTAAATTCAATCGATGTCAGAAAAATATTTCGGAGGAACGTTTTGAGTACCTTTCCAAGAAATGTATGTGGAAGTGGAGCAGGAGGGCTGAATATTATTTTTATTATTTTTTAAACTCGGTCTCTGCTAAATTACCAGCCATAAAAAGAATTAAAAAAAACGCCCGGACGTTTTTTGAAAATTCCTTGATGAAATTTCGCGGAAAGCAATTGAGAATATCTTTATTCACATTATTGTTTCTCGATACACTAATGCTCTAATTGATTCAGATACACAAGTAAACAATTTCGGATGCATTTTTGAATGTAAAGTATTTTCATAGACGGCACGTCGAAGTGGGACAGAATTCGGCATTTTATTTCGAATAAAATCGGTCTTCTTCGCTTGATTTGCCTTGCGATAATGTAAGTACGTTTTTGAAGAAATTCTCATGCAACGATGAAATATTATTCGAATTTATAAAATTAGCAATGCATTCAGGCATCAGTGGTGATTCATTGGAGTATGATCATATTTCTACGTGAAAGTTTATTGGCACACCCATTACTGCATCTGAATATTAGTCTTGAGCCCGAGAAAGTGTCCCGATTGCGGAACTTTTTGTTTCTTAGAAACAATATCAATCATGGATCGCAGAGACGATGTTGGATTTTTTCCAGCGGTAATTGCGAACTCAAAACGTAATCATGAAGTAGGTGCAATTTTTCAAAGCCATAATGACGGATCCAGATATAGGGAGGTTTTTAGTTTTTGGGTGTGACCCTCATTAACGGGAGCCGATGAGTGCTGACCTGGCTCCGGGCGCTTTTAACGATGCTGGTTATCTGTAGGTTTTTCGCTCTCATTTATTTTAGACCGACTTCCTGTTGTTTTATAGGGCATTCTGCTCAAATTGAACTTGTTTTTGCGGAGGAGTGACTTGTTTCGAAAATGAAATGACTGTTCATACGACTGACTTCGTCCTCGAAAGTTTAATGTTCTGAAAATGACTTCCACTTCCGTTTTCATCGGGAATTATTCTTCCATTGGGTGCATAGGCATTTAATTACAATCATTTCTTTCAAGCCCGCTCTTTGATTCATTGCTATTTCTCTAAATCTTTTCGGGCTGATTGCAGTTTCGTCAGAGGTTTTCATTCGACCGCTTTCCCGAGCGTGAAAATCCTGTTGCTAGGAGAAGAAAGTCAGGTGCAAGTCCTTTTTTATCGTTTTGGTCGACGTTTATTTTTAGCGTAATGAATATCAGAAGATCTACTGGGAGTTATTTGCGAGAAAAAAATATTTAAATAAGAATGAATCGGTCGCCTGCAGTCAGTTTTATCGTACAAGTCGTTATTCTGGCTGAAGCAGAGAAACGAAACGAGAAAATCAACTGAGGCTTCTTGAATAATGAATGAGAAACTCGATTCAGGCGAGTGAAATTGCAGTCGTCCCCTTCGCCTTTCTCATCAGTTTAGCCACAAGGAAGAGTGCACACAATAATGTTGTTGGGGCGAAATGGGTCGTCGCGTGGCACCGACGGATTGCTGCGGTTTTTCAGAACGTTCCTTCTTGAGTTGAATGCAATCTCTTGTTTGAAGACGAAATACACGGGAAACATTTTTAAACATCGAGGAATTGAAAAAATAAATTTTACATTTTTGAAAATAAAAATAACCCATGTTTGAGCAGAATTTAGACGATTTTGTTCAGAATTGTTGACAGCTAACTATATCTTTCAATGAATTTATTTAGATAGAAAAAGTTTATGCACCAGAATCTTCACTACACCACCGTGGAATCAATATTAAAATTTGAATCGGGGTTGTGTTTATTTCGAGAGAAATTCCTTCAATCGCAGATTACACTTGAGCAACCGTCTTGCTTTTTTTATAACATCTTAGTCTACTGTAAACAATTTGTTGGAACATAGTTCGAACAATTTTGTGCTACCGATAAAAGAAAAAAGGAAATACCTAGCATGATCCCAAGAGACGAAGTCAGAAAAAATCCCGAAGTTTTTTCACTCCTGCAGAAACATTTTGTGAGAGAAAAAAATAATTTACTGCTGGGTGGAATTTTTTCTGCTTTCCTGCAATAGGATTAGCATTGAGGAATTTTGAAGACAACAGTTTTCAATTTCTGGGATATTTCCCAACTTCAGCTACTTGGCCAAAGCTGCATTTTGGTGACCTTTGGTCAAACCAAAATGCACAAGCGTGCAAAAATTTTCTGGCATATTTGCGCAATGGCAATTTACCAGCCGCCATCCATGGGTTAAAACTTTGAAAATTGGTCTGTGAGTGATGAAGAAAAATTTTAGTATGCCCAATCCATCCATCCACAACCTAGATTTTTATTGGTCTATTTGTGGGTTCTCTAATGCTAAGGCCTTGGAATAATTTTTACTATTTGCAACATTTTGCTAAAGTATTCAAAGTTGCTTGACAATTGTTAATTGTGAACATTGAAGATGTATTCTGCCTCTCAGTCTTTCTAGCTGTTGCCTCTCACTTTGCTGAGGTTCTCAATTATTTTGGCTTGACAGCGATCATCTTGAATTCCTCATCTTTTTTTTAGGGACAATTTCGCAAAAACTGTGCTGTACTTCAAACGTCAGATTCACTGTCAATGCCTGACTTGTTCTGTCCTATTTTGTGAAGTTGTGGACCAGGAAACAGGACTGGAATCTCACATGCGACATACCGTATTTTTTTTCTCTCGAGCATTTCATATTCCTCAACTTGTGTTCTCGTCACTGAAACTAATTCCGTGGAACTGCATCATTCGAGGTTTCAGAGAAAATAACATTGAAATGGAAATGCTGATTTTATTGTCGCACATGTATAATAATCGCCCTCGCGTTCTTTCGTGCCTCGAGCGCGCGCGCTGAGAGAGCCCCGCAGTACCCGGCAAGGAATAATATCCCAGCACCTGATGCCGAAAACCCCCCGGCACACAGGAAATTCGATCCGAGGCATTTCCCTCCTTGTTTTTGTGGCGGGCCGGGGCAGGGTTTCTCTCTTCCCCCCGCGGGGGTTTCCGCGATTCCCCTGCTTATATGCCGGACCCGGTCATTTCCCCCTCCTCTGCTGCTTCTCCCCCGGCGGCGTAATTCGCATCAGGATGGGAACAACATTTTCGTGTCCCAGACTGATGCGACAGCAGAGACCAGACCAGACAGACAATGCCCCCGCAAAAAATACTTCCCCCTCCGCGGCGTCAGAAAGCAACCTGGGTGCTGCGGCGGCGAGGCGAGGCGAGAGCCAGTCCGTGCCAGCGGAGGAACCATGCGGATTTTGCCAGGGGTCAGTGTTGCCAAGCGGGGGATTTTTTTTTTAAATAAGCCCTCGAACTCCCTCTGAAGATACTGCACCATGCGACTTCAGAGTCTTTAAAATACAAGAGCAGACCTATAGTCATTGGATGAGCTCTAGCACTATTTTTGGCCAGATCCAAGTGTAAGTTCTTGTTACACAAGAACTGTACCTTATTTATCAATTGAATAACATGTACCCTTGAATATACAATCAACGACTGTTTGCGTTATTTGCCGCAAGCTCTTCCCGTCGAACAGATCCATTTGCCGCCTCCAATAACTTGGATTGCAAACGATGTACGATTTTGCTGAGAGAAGATGCACATGCACGCAGATTTTCTTTCTTCGAAAATTTGACGAAAAACCAATCTCAGAAAAATAAATGCACTGTAGCTTTCTGTTACTACTGTAATATGTTGAATACTGTATTCAAAAAGTGAAACAAGTAAATATGATACGATATTTGGTTGAAATGAATGATAATTTTGATTGCATTGCATGGGAGAAATTCCTATGAAAAATCCAAAGCTCTTCTTCATGCCCCGGTTATGATGTGCCCCCTTTTGATCCTCATTTTTTTTAAATGAGCCCATAGTATGCAAGTGAATACATTAAGCATTTAATCGTAGCCTATCCAGGAATTATGCATGGACAGTGGTAGCAATTGTAGATATGATGTTTAAAGGAAACCTGCTCAAATGATAAGATGAAATTCAGCATCTCCCATTGAAAAAATAGCGAGATGGTTGAGCTAAAAATGAAGAGGATTATTGTGGAGCAGAATTTTTTTGAATCCTGGCACATTTTGGTTTGACCGAAGGTCGAGGAAATGTAGCAGGAGCAGAGTAAAAAAAAAGAACCCATTTAATTTTTTGTCATACTGAAATTTTATTTTTAAAGGAGATCTTTCATAATAATCCTGCCAGAGAAATGCAGGATTCTTTCAAGCAGTGTTTGTCTGTACTGTAGCTTGGTTGAAGAAAACTTCGAACACTTTCTGACTTCACGTATGTGCATCAGTTTGGGATTTTTCGATTTTCAAGTTCTTGGTCAGCATCTCTTGCAAATTCTTCCAAGTCTTCTCTCCTCCGAAACCGTTCAACGCAAAATTTTAAATCGCTATTTCTAATTGCCGCAGCTCTCGTAATAATCTGAAAAGTGGGCTTACTTTTGGGGGTAGCGGGGTGGAAGTATAGAATATGAATGTTCGAAACCTCGGGGTTATTTCGGTGGTTATTCCGTAGATCCTGTGGTTGTAACGTACATTGCAGGATGAGTGAAATCTTTGTGAGCCTGAAAAATATTTGTTGTTGATTTGGCTGACGTCTTCCTGACTCATTTTTTGTTCAGGCATGTGTTTCCCAGTTTGATTTCTGATCAATATAATTTAAACCCGATCCTTTATTTCTGACTAATTCTTTTTTTGCAAAAGACAGAGAGAGAGAGAGAGGTAAAAACAGGTTTTTTCCCCAGCATGTGGTTGTTTTTGTTGCTGTTCCTCTTGTAAAAAAAAATTAAACCCGTCGTTCTTTCTTGCCTGGAACTAAGGCGTTGATTACCTCGAATGTTCGTGAGAAGTTCAGGAACACGGGGTACAATGAGTGTAGTTTGTACGTGAGGCTCTGAATCGGACGTCAGATCAGTGCCCTGGTAACACTCGTGAGAGCAGTGAACGGCCTCGGCACAAAAGGGTCCCCGCGAGTCAGGGAGACGTTTCATAAGTAAAGGGTTGGCAATGAGACCGCGTTTACCCGCGAAGAGGGCGATGAACGAAACCCGACTTGGTTTCGTCCTCGTGGGTCAATCAGGAAGTTCCGAAACTGGATGTTTTCTGTGCCTCGTTTCAAGTCTGTTCGAAACACGGTTTTACATTGAAACTTGAGGCAGGTCTCATTGGAGACCACGCGCCGTGTACGTTAGCGACTCTTCACTTTTTGTTCGATTCATTCTATAAACATACGTTTTTTTTAGATATAAACTCTTTGTAAACTTCTCTTCCTTCATTTATTCAGATGTTGATAAGAAATTTGGGGAATTTGATACAAATGTAAAGTGTTTTAATTTCACGTAAAGTAATCGAAAGAGAGTTGTACGCTAAATTTTCATATGATGAAGTTGATCAAATCCAGATTGAGTTATCCAGTCACGGAATTTTATGTTTGAATTTGGTGGAAAAAATTGTTATACTATGCATTACATGCGCACAGTAAAAGTTATCAAAGCGTATCTCCAGTATCATCTTGCTATGTATCAGAACTTCGAAAAGACGAAAAGTCACAATTTTTATCCACAAATAATAAGGCGACGCGTTAGGTCTACAATCTATAGCAGGATGACCTGGAATTAAATGTGAAATAATTGGGTGAAAAATGCTGACTTATTCTAAGCAAAAGTGCCAAAATCTAGCATCGTCATGCGTTATTCCGGTCAAAATGAAATTAATCGCACGAAGTCTAATAGCCTTTGGATTGAATTTAAGCAGCGTGAGCTGACTTGGAAGTTTAGCTTTCTAAAAATTAATTTTGCAGAAGTGGATTTGATGAAACAGCTTTTTAATCGCGATGCTGTTTCTTTTGACGCTAAAAATAAGCCCTAAGGAAAAAAAAAGTTCCCTCTGTCTCCCTGAAATGTTATGTTGATATTCGAGAGTCTTGCAGTTGCCAAACAGAGAAAGGATGTTTACGTTAATGAGGGCTTTGGAATGGAACGGCTGCACAACAATTTCTGCAACTACTTCTGAAGCTCTCAGCCCACTTAACTTTGTAGTTCTTTTAAGGCGAAATCATTTTGTACATAAATTCAAATTCAGCGTACTGCGACCAAAGTAAACTCGCATTTTGAGGAAAGAAGCGCAATTTTTGGAAAAACATGTTTAAGGTGAGACTCGAATCAATGTCATTTTAGATTTGCAGTTGAGGAGCGTGATTCCTTCTAGACGATACAGTACTATTATTTTTTAATGGTATAACAATTGCATTTTTTTTACTGTGAAAATTCAAGGGTACACGAGTTACAAATTCACATTTATGTTGGAAGTGTTCCCAGAAGATTAAGCTGGTAACTTTAAACTGAGTAATATACATAGGATTCACGTCATTTTTTTATTTAGCTTCGAGGCACGAAAAAATATGCGGTGCGTCCTGTATTTGATTTTAGTCGAGTAAACACGCTATATTCGGACAAAACGTGTCACTGAAAAGACCAAAAAAAGAGATACGATGGAATCTTGAGTAAATACAAATACTGTACAAATCCTTTTTATGGAAGGGAATCTTTTCTTTCGGAAGAAGAACATGTGAGATGGTCAGGAATAGAACTCGTGACAACTTTTGAGAGGAGTCCCTCGGAGTAAGTGACTGAATCGGGACGCTAGAAAATAAGGGAGCTCCGAAGCAGATGCGTGATGCGAGCGACGTGGCCGCGGGGACATGGGAGACCTGCAGACGAATCGCCCCGATGTCGATCGTATTTTTTTTTCTTTCTGAAAATCTTGCAACCCGATGTATTCAGGCGGGGTTCTTTCAATGTTGCGATTGTTTTCTCGCTTCCTTTTTTCTTCATCAGCCTGTCTTTTTTTCTCGTTTCGGTTCATCGGGTTCAATTGATTGCGTCAAGGTTCCGCCCGGAGGCACTTCCAATGAGACACGGCCTGAGAGCTGTGGGGCGGAATTTTTTCTGCTGCAGGCGGCTGCTTGCTGCGACTGGAAATCAATGTTGCCTCAGTAGATTTCAATTAAATCAACGTAGAAAAAAATATATGGATTAGAAACCATTAAAAGAAGAGAAAGGAACACCGACTTTTGGGGACTATAGTATGAGCCGTGTTTTAAATTATTTTCCGTGCTATGGTGTCGATACGCCGGAGAAATACGAGGGGTGAAGACTTTCAAGAGCGCTGCAAAAACGGCGAAATTTTATTTTTGAAGCGACTACTTTTTGAAGCACAAAACGTCCCATGCAGTTAATGTATCCAATCTTTCGAGCACCTGCTGGTAGAAATTTTTTTGAAAAGCCCGAGCGACTCATGGCAACCATCTATTTCGCTGTTTTTCAAATTGTCGCTGAGAAACTCTACGTAGAGAAGAATACGTGCGAGGAATGACACGGTTTTTCAGAATTTATGTTAAAATACACGCAGTCTATATTTACAGATTAGATCTTGGATATTTTGATTTTTTTTCGGCAATAAAATGTGAAGTTGATCCTATCACCTTCATATGTTTCTCTCAATTAGCCCGAAAAGTAGAGTTTTCATTCAAGATGTCACGTTGAAATATGTGGTGCGTTCAATTCATTTTATACATTTTCCTTTCAGATGCAGATACAGTATTGTGTTTTTTTTTTAATTGAGGTGATCTTGCGTTCTTTTCATGCACAGTTTTTTATTTTTTTATCGTCACGAACCGCAAATATCTTGAAATACAAAAAAGGACTGTATCTTCAACTTTTTTTACATTATTTAGCGAACTTCTGTATTGAATCGGAGAACTGCGCTGCATTGTTGTCATCAGTAAAAAAAAATTCCCGGAATCTTAAGTATCTTTCATTGGAACATGGATAAAAAGATTGAAAAAGTTTCAATTATTTGAAATGTTCGGCAGATTTTCTACTAAGGTATCTGCAAATTCTAATCTCATTTTTTCGTTACCACGCATTATTTGGACCAGGATGAGGAAAAACTGGACAAAAATTTAAGTTTAAAAATATTCAGGATAAGATAAAATATTTAATTGAAAATCATCTTGATTCTAGATGAATCCGACAAGATTTCAGGAAGGATATCTCAGGAAGGACGAAAGTCGTTTTGCTTTGACTAAAAATTACTGTACTTTAGTTTACTTTGAATTAAAATGCGAGCAATTTTTTTGGGTTTTACTTCGATCGCTGCACTTCTGGTCTAAAGTGAACGCTTTCAGCCATAGAAAGTACATTCAAATTAATTGCAAACGAGAAAAAAAGAGAAACGAAAGCACACGGGAAATAACGGACCTCACTCGACAAGCAAACGAATCCAAAGGTGCTTTGGAAGTTTTATTCTGGTTTCGCATCGTGACTTTTGAATTAATGAATAACTTTCGAGCATGTCGCGAGTTATTCATTTACTTGCTCTCGTTTCATTTGAAAATGTCTCGCTGTTTTCATTTCTTTTCCCTTTTGTTGGAGTGTGTATGAAGACATGCAATTAGGAGTTGAAGCACTGTGACTAACGCACCTCGTGGTGTTACTGAAAACTCGGAAAGAACCCAGAGCATCAGGGATCACTGATCAGCGTTTCGCTGCCTGAATCGAATCACGACCCGAAAGGCGTTAACCCGAGCATCTCCAACACCAAAAGTCAGACCGAGAAATTGATTCCCCCTTCCTTCTGATTTCTAATGCCGATGCGGAAATCCATTTTCTCCATTCTTCTCGGGAACTTTTTTTTTTTTTTGCGCGCGCGTATTTCCGCAAAATAAGGGCTTGAAAGGCAGCCGGTTTCGCTTACTGCTCGGATTACATCCTTCCGGTATTTATTTATTTAGTTTTTATTTATTCTAGAGCAGGTTTATCTGCTTTAGGCGTGCTACCTGGCTTTCTTTCTTTCTTCTCCGTTTCCGCCTATTCTTCCCGTTGTTCCCCCGTTTGATTAACGTAGCTGCCTGTGAAGTTCTCCGCTGAATTTTCCCGGTTCGTCCCACGTCATCCGTATGGCCGTGACAGCCGCTTCCCAGGAAGAGCGTTGTACGGATGCGTTACGATTTGCGCTTCGGCGCTGTTACTAAACATGGGTAGCCGGAACGTGGGCTGGGAGCTCATTGTTTATTCGCGAATGGACGCATATCTTGGCAAGGAAACTCGAATTCAACAGATGATTGAACACACAGAAAATGCTTTTTGACAGATGAAGGAATTTCTTCCAAAATAACTTGAAAGAAGAACACATGAATTATACAGTCAAACCTCTCTAAGTTGAATTTCAAGGGACCAGAAAAACAAATTTGAGTTGGGAAGGTTTAGAGTTGGGGAAACGAGCATTTTTGTTGGAGTGAGGGGGGGGGGGGGGGAAGAAAGAATAATTCCAGGAAATTCTAAATGGCTATATTCTAGGCCATAAAATGCTTTTTTGAATTAGTTGACAGGATGCTGAAATTGGATGCAAGGGTTCATTTGTCCAATTATTTTTTCACTTCCTTTCAAAATACACATTATTGTTTATTGTTTTTCTCTTTTTGTTTTAAGAAAATAATTATCAAAATGCATTAGAAAATTTGGGTTATGGATGCTTTAGAAAAAATCATTCGAGTTAGGGAGGTTTTTACTGAATTTTTTCAAAGGGAATTTTGATGCGAACTTAAAAAAAATTTGACTTAGGCAGGTATTTGATGTGGGAGGTTTGAGTCATTGAGGTTCAACTGTGTCAGCATGCCTGCAAAGTGCAGAATCTATTTATTTAAGCAGACAAGAATTTGGTAAATCATGAAATACTTGATAAACACATTTTGATGTACAGGTAGTTCTTTGATAATTATCGTGTAAATCTTTCATAAGGATGAATGAAACACAACGAGAAGATGTAATGCTCGGGAGCGTTAGGGATAGACAAGTTGCCTCGCGTTCATCTTCACTGATACACATTCCTCGCATTATACAGTACAGTATACGGATCTGCGCTTTTGAATGCAGCTCGTGATGCAGTACTCTACTTCAGCTTTTGTAAAAAAAAAGCGACTTCGTCAAAATTCAGTAAAACGTACTCGACTTCGTATGCAGGAGATGAAAAAATTAGGCGCCACGAGTCCGTCAATAATGGTCGGACAAATCGATTCGCGCGGTGCGAAGAGCTTCCGGTTGAACCGAGTCTTCGACACCATCAGCGCCTCTCTTCCCAACTGCGCCCCATCAAAGAAATGTTCCGGGGGAAAAAATGGCACTCTTCTCTCATAAATAAATACCATTTTGTGTAAATGCGCAGAATAGGCAGCCGCTCCTCGTTCCACTGAGAAAGCGTCGAGAAAATTACCGCGTCATTAAGCTCCCGATGAACTTTACTGGAGAAAACCCGAGGGGGAAGAAAAAAAAAAAACTTTGCGGCTGGTGGCGGAAACGTTGCCGAATACATAAGTTTTTTTTTATCTCTCTCCCTCTCAAAAATGTCGATGACCGATCTCCTTCCTACCTCGACAAGAAACGGAAAAGAAAAATGCCGACGCTTAATGCCTCGAAAGAAAACGCAACAGCGACGAGATTTATGACGCAGGATTCCGGAATCCCACTCTTCTTAAATGCCCTTTAAAAAAAATAACCCTCGAAATAGCCCCATACAATTGACCTGAATAGCCCGAGAATGGAGTGCATTCACGCGTCTGGATGGATCCGTATCCTCCGAAAGTCATGGATTCAAACCCGTCAAACCTCGAGTCGTCGTCCCGTGGTTCTTTAATGGCCCCTTCATTTTCCCCAGCTTGGGATCATTATCAGGCTAATTTGAAATTTCAACGAGACGCCCATTTATGCGTTTGGTGTTGAGAAGAATGGCTTTTGTTCAGGGTAGTAAACATTTACCCGCACACACACACTCACACCGCAAAAAAAAGAGACGAACATTTTTTGTGCTTTTCGCTCGGCGTCTCCCTGAAATTTCATTTTTCTGAGATCAGGCTGGCCCATTTTGTTCTGCCTTTGGTTTCGTTACGTTATCATATTCGCAATATTTCACAGAGTTTATCATGAAGACTCGTTTACAGTATTTTTGAACGAAGTATACCTTCTGAACAGTTCATCAGCACATGTAAAATGGTCAACTTGAAGTTGATTCGATTTTCTTCTGAGCGCGAGTTTATGGTTTTCGTTCCCAGCATGGCACGACAATTAGCGCCATTTAAGGAAAATTATCCGGGAAATGATCTGTCGTTTTCCTTTGAAAATCTACTAAACTTCGAGCTGGATTTTTCCCCCAATGCGATTGCAGCGATAAAGCAATTTTTTCAGAAGTACGTATTGTTCACCCGTTACTTTCAGAAAGACTGGAGGATTGTATTTCTTTTTTTTTAATTGTCCAATGTGCAACTGCTTGACGCTGAAACTTTAGTTAACTGCAGAACAAACCATTCTATCTTTAATTCTCAGAAACATATGTTTCTGTGTCAAAAACTCCAGAGAAGAAAATTGAAATGGAATGGAAACGTGAAAAATGTGACGACGAGGCCAGAATCGGTTCAGCTAAAATCAACTACGGCTGATTCTGACGAGAATCACATGGCCTTTATGAAGTTCATGACTCGAACAGTTTAAAATCAGCTCCCAGATCGTTTAGTACACAAACTTTTTTCTCGAAGAAAATATTCTTGGATTTAATTTTCACTTCGTAAAGCAATCATGAGGTCAGTTGACGCGCCGAATATATTTTGCTACACCCAGTTGAGCTCATATGGTTCGATCCTGTAGTTGCGTAAACATGCTTTTATGCGTCAATATAACTTTGATGGTGAAGCTGTTTGAAGGCTGCCAGTAAAAATGAGCCATTTATTACATAATCATCGACTAACTGATTAGCAATCTGGCTTCATCGAAGCAAGCGAATTGCTCAATTTGGGTATCAAAGCGTGTACACCGTACTTCGTTGTTTAAAACTGCATCATGCCGGTATTAAAACGTTGAAAGCCGGTTTTCTTCTCATGTCTGGGCTATTTGAAAAGGAATCCAGCCAAATAACCGTGAAACGAAACGAATGGTCTCTCGATGCTCGCGGATTTTAAAACCGTCTCTTTAATGTCCGTTATTGCAGGTGATAAACGAGCTGAAGGAGGAAGAGAAAAAGGGCAACATCACTGACAAAATGACGGTATACTTCCGACGTCCGTCCGAGGCAATCAAACCCGTCGGCAGCTCCGCCACCGCGGCGGCGGCGGACATGAACATCGGCCGGCGCCTGAGTCGCGAACTGCAAGAACGCGTTCTGCCGAAAAGCCTTCAACACCAGCAACTGCAACAACAACAACAACAACAACAACAACAACAACAACAACAACAACAGTTACCACCACCAGTTGCTGCTCCGGCAGTGTTGCCAACGACCAAAGACGACATTCCAGCAAGCAAAAGCCGGCAATTGTACGCCTTGCTCGGCGAGAAAAAGCCGCCTTCCGCGCCGCCGGTCACCGACAAAATCGACATCGATTCCGAAAACGTGGAAACGCCGCCGGTGACGAGACGAGCTTTCGGCTACCGCAGTTTCCGAGGCCCCATGGACGCTCTCGTCAAAGAGCCCGACGTCCTGCCAACCACTACCACTCATCATCATCATAACAATAATAACATTAATCATCATCAACAGCAACATCATCATCATCACAGCAGCAGCAACAACAACAACAGCAACGTCGTGGCGGCCCGTCTGACGACAGCGGGAACCAAGACGACATTTCCGACGGCAGCGAGACGCGGACGCCCAGTTTGCAACGCCGCCACTTCCCGGTCCTGTCGGGCGACTCTGGTTTGTCGACGAGTGCCGCCACGACTGCGACAACTGAGTCGGCCTTAGAGTTGCCTGGGGACCGAAGTTTGCAGCGTTCTTTGCGATACAAGAGGCTGGTTCAGATGGCCAAGGAAGCCGAGCCCGAGGTGGAATTAACGGGTCCTGGTGGGGCGAAGGAGCAGGAGAAACACGGAGATGCTGCGAATGGGCACGTGCAGCTCAGACAACAGGACTCTGGAACCCAACAAGACCTAGACGAAGCTGGCCAATTCGACAGGTTCGTTTGCTTTCCAAAATTCATGCTATAAAAAAAAGGATTCAGCATGTGCACTGTTGTGACTGCGGCATTATCCTTTACGAAAAAATAATTATTATTTAGGAATTGGTCAATATTATAGCTTCGAATACAGCTGAACCGAAATGCAATCTAATAAAAAAAAAGAGTTCGCATGCTTCGTAATTTCGCTGGAAATGAAAACTAAAGTTGAAGGCTCGCGTGTTCACAAAAAATGCTTCGAAGCAAAAGAATTCTCAGATCAACTTCTGCTTGAGCAGTTTGTTTCTTAGACTCTATCCAGGTGGACTCTCTATCTACAACGATCTTGTCTACAACGAATTTGTCTGCATGACAAATTTGTTTTGGTCCCATAATGTTTTCTCCTCATGTCAAGAGCGTTCTCTGCAAACGAAAAATTTTTTTGGTACGTCGTTCGAATTTCGTTGTAGAGAGAGTCCACCTTAATTAAATTCTTTGGATTCTTTTTTTAATCATTAACTGGTAAAACATTGATATATTTCTCGTTAGCTTGTGCTAAAGAAGACCTTTTCAAATAAAACCTTATTCAAGCAAAATTCTTCTCAAATATGCTTTTTGTGCACATGAGCAGTTTCTTTCTTACTACTGTACCAATATTGCCTTACTTGGAAAATCATTTGTAATTAAAGTCTGGTGAAAAATCATCTTTTTCTCGTGGGCAGGTGCTAGAGCAGAGCTTTTTTTTTACCTGCTGCCTTTAAATTGTTTTTCAGCGGGTGAAAACGCAAAATATCTGTGCGTTTCCGTGATAAGAAAAGGATGAATGTGTCGCCGAAGTTAAACAAACGCCCAATAGTACCTTATCTAACTTGACCTTCCAACTTTCTTCTTTATGTTTTCTGTGTATTTTCTGATTTTATACTCGCTCTTCGAAAATTTCCTTCTATTCCATCCACCTGCTCTTTTGAGACTTACTGTACTTCCGACGCGCACAATTTATTAGCTGTGAATGGGAACTCCTCATCAAGCAGCACAGTATTTATATGTTTTTATTCTAAAAAATGATATATAATTATTAATGCATTAATATAATTATTGATCATTATTTTATTAATTTTAATTATTATCATGCATTTTATTTCTGTCTGTGGAATTATTATTCCAGTTTTTCCTGCCCCATTCCCCTCTTCTTCGTCTAGAATTGAAACGTGCAGCCGTAATTGCTTTCAGTTTCCGCCCTGCCGTCGTTTTAATCAAAGTAGAGTGACGTGCTTCGTCTGCCTTGGGCAATTTGCGGCTGTTAAATTTTTTTTTAGCAAGACGCATCGGGAAATAGTGTTACTTGAAATCCCCCAGATTCATCAAGCTTTCCCCCGAAGCATTTAAGAAATGAGTGATCATGTTCGGAAGCGGTTATTTGAAGTACATGCTCATGACTCTAATTTCTCTCGAACACGTTTCCTGCTCCCATAGTACGTGACGTAAAGTTTATTTTGTGTATGGTAATTTTAATCACGACGTAGCGCCTGGAGATTCGTGCTTGATTTCGGGAGCGAATGAAAATTCGTGATCCACTTCGAATGCATTTTATCTTTTTTTTTTTAATTTGTACTAAGTGGGAATGACGTCTCTACGAATATCAATAACTGACGGATCATTTAGTTCTTAAAATCTTAGCATTTTACCAATATTTGAGAGACGTGATGGATTTCAACTTTCAATCGCTCCTCAACGTGTCGTTAGACAGTTTCCGTTTCATGGATTCTCGCCAACCGTCACGTAATCCATGCAACAACAAAAATTATAAAACTAAACAGAGTGAAAAATAATGATGCATCTTGGAATGAGACTTTTCAATCGGTGAATCGATAATATGCACGTCAAGGAATACCAAGAAAGGCCACTGATTTGTGCAGAAATGGCTGGAAACTTTAGAAGTTAGTGATGTGCATTCACTTCATCAAAAGAGGATATGTAAACTGCACTTTTGAAAGCAGTGAAATCCTGTGGCTGAGAGATGATAGTCTTTCCCGCGATTATCGAGAAAAAAAATCAGATGCCGATGCCGGAAGAAAACACAGATTTATCTGACGAAACATGTGTAAATGGCATTCAACTGTTCCCATTGCCCTTGGAAAACCAAATCTATATCTTGATTGAAAGGAATTGGGAAGTATTCTTGAAAATATTTAACTTCACATAATGGAAACAGAATCTTTCCTCCCGTTGCTGTTACTGTATATTTAAACGCCAGTCATTTCCTTCGCAGAAGTAAAAAAAATTCGCAGGAACAATAGGAATAGCGCACTATTTACCGTCGATCCGCACTATTCACTGTATGGGAATATGTAGTATGAGATACTATTAATACAAATGTGCAACATAATCTATGACAATACATTGAACAATGCAAAACAGTTTTATCACCATTGTAAGACTCACGTAACCGTCTCACAACACATGGAAAAGCTGTTTTGAGTAGCGTTGAAAAAAAAGAGTGCCTCAATTGTTTTTTAAATGATAACACATTCGTCCGTACATCGAATGCAATGCACTTCAATGATAAACTGTGGATAAAGACCCAATTGCTTTTATTTTCAAACGTGCCGGCAGAATTTGGATCATCAGGTTTAAACACACTTTCAAAATTCACTCAGTCCAAAACGAGTTTTCTCGTGTTTTCAATGCGTATTCTTACCAGAATTTCTGCGCTCAGTTCAGGTCATTAATTGAATGTTATAATTCCCTGTAGTGTAAAGATTATAGACGATTCAATGAGTGATTGATCAATTGAATGAAGGCACAGTCTTGGGACACCGTTTTTCTTGCGATTTCCAGAGGCTGTTTGATTTTCTGCCCCCGCTGCAAATGAAAGAAAAACGCGTGCTATAATTTACTTGTGTGAATACTACTGTACTTGTGTAAGTTACTCTCTAAGTCGAATTTTGAAGCACCAGCAAAAAATTCGAGTTAGGGTGGTTTCGAGTCGGGGAAACAAGCATTTTTGTGTGTGTGAAATACAGTATAGAAGAATATCAGGAAATTGTAAGGGTGACATTCTGTGCCTTAAATCGCTTCTTATATGAGTTAGCAGGATGCTGAAATCGGAGGCAAGGGTTCATTTGCCCTATTAGTCTTTTACTTCCTTGCAAAATACACCGAGTTACTTCTTTTATTTGCTTTAACCTTTTCTATGTAAAGAAAATAATAGCCAAAAGGCCCCCCACCCAGAAAATTCGAGTTACAGTGGTTTGACAAAAAAAACCTTTGAGTTGGAGAGGTTTTTAATGCACGCTTTCTTAGGAAATTTGGATGGGCACTGGAAAAAAACACTTCGGGAGGTATTTGTTCGAGTTATCGAGGTCCGACAGCAATTTCAAATGCAATAGTTTTTTCTTTGTCTTTTTCAAAATCGCAGATATTCGCTGGCGAGACGCACGACACGAAGATCCAAACGGTTCCCCACTGATGATGCGAGCGAGCAGCAAAATGTTCCCGAACCGGTACAGCAACCCGCTTCGCCGGGCATTCATTCATCCAAGGACGACACGCTGTCCAAACTGCGCAACTGGCCGGGGCGCCTGTTCCCAGGAAAGACCACCACGGACGCCCCGCCGCCGGCGCCTTCAGCCTCGACTCGCGGCCGCCGCGGCTCTCGCACCAAGAGCCTCATCGAACCGAAAGAGGTCGAGTTGGCCATCAAGCAGCATCAAGTGGGACGCCAGCCAGTGCCCACCAGCCCGACGGCGACTCTACCCAGGCAGCCGCCCAATGCTGCTGCTGCTGCCTCTGCCGTCGTAACCGGTGGCGGCTCTCTGAACAGAACGTCGAGCACGCGACAGTCAACGACGCAGGACGGGGTTGCCAAGATCGCGGGTGCGTTCCGGAGTCTCACGCGGAACTTGAAGCCTCAGCGTGGAGAGTACAGATTGAATGGTACTTCCTTGGGGGCGCCTGCTGTCGTGAGCACGAACCCGACACTGACGCGCAGTGACAGCCACAACACCAGGGCCAGCAACCAGAGTCTGAGCAAGAAGAGTTCCGATGGGTCCTTGCACCGGCATTCGCCGCCGGCGCCTTCAACGCCGTCGCTACGCAGGCAAGTAGTGCTCCTGATGATGGCGCAGACATTTTTAATTTTGGATCCCCCCGCATAACAAAACTAATACAGGTGGAATTCTCTCTCTCTCTCTCTCTCTCTCTGAAAAGAAATCCCAAAGACTAGTAGAAAATTCGTTGTACAGTACGGAGAATTTCGTTGCAGAGAACCCCTGTAACATAGGGAGAGTAACCAAAACACCATTCTACCAAAAAAAGATTCGTTCTCCAGAGAAAATAATTGCATGAAAGATCGCTGTAGATAGATAGAGAGAGAGAGAGAGTCCACCCGTACAATAGGTCCGAGCATAAAGAACCTAATTAATTGTTGACCAAACATAAAGAACCTAAAAGGGCTCTCTCCGATAGAGAAAACCCTATGGGACCACAAAAAAATCATTCACGAAGAAAATCATTGTAGAAAAATTCGTTGTCGTAAAAATGTGGTCAGTGCAGACCAGAGGTGATCCAAGTGTTCAAGAAAACTGACCTGGACTTTATTCAACTGATATAGAGTAAATAAAATCAAAAACTAGCTCAACAACAAAAGCCGTTCTAACTACGAAGAAAATCAAGGAAAATGATTGAAGATCGGTTATTGATATTTCACTGGAATTTTTGTAGCTCCCATAGTTGGGTCTCTTTCGAGAGAGGGAGAATATGTTCTGCTAAAGCAGCACCCTTTTTCATCTGTTGTTGCCGAATGCAAGTGGGAAATTTCGCAGTTATTTGCCGGCCAATAAAATAGCCCCAACAACGACTTTCGGCCGAAAAACGTCTGTGTTCAAAGGTGACCCGAAGTGCTATCGTACTTTTCGGATTTTCTACCAACGAGTTTTACCCAGCGTAAGTTGCTAAATGTGTTCAGAGAAAATGTTCGAGGACGGCATGAAAGGCATCGCTGGAAAATTTATCCAGAGCCTTATTTTAACAAATTCGCCGAAAAAATGTGGCAAGGACGCTAGACATTTGTTGCACAACTACAGTGCGTATGGTAAACATTATACAGTACCTGTATTTTTCTTGGAATGTACGCATTTCCTGATTTCATCCAAAACAATTTTTTTCCAGCAACCTGCTTCAACTGTATCCTTTAATGACCTACACATCTGGTTGTTCGTCGATTGCCAATTTTGAACTCTGGTGATAGCTGGCGGAAAATACCACGGCTCATATAAAAGCTTATTGCTTAAATTGAAAAACATTAATTCCCTTCTGAGAATTATCCTTGTTGTATATTGTACTTCCGTGATACTCAATCGTACTCGCTAGCTACAACAATTGTGGCTGCTTTTTGTTACATCACCTGCCTCATTTTCTCAAGCAGGAATTTTACAAAATAATTTCAAGGGATATGAGCGTATAAATTTGAAAAAATAAGCGTTCCAGGATACGTTTCTGACTACGACGATTCTACTTTGTGAACGAATTACTCGATTTACCATCGTTGCTTTCGTGTAGAAACTGTCTTGAAAGTTTTTCTGAAGGTGGAACGTCAAGAATTCATGCCTCTTCGTAGTCCAGTAAATTTCATATTCAGAATTTTCCTCATACAGATGGACTCCCTCTCTCTCTGCAACGATCTTGTCTACAACGATTTTCTCTGTATAACAAAATTCTTTCTGGTTCAGCAGGGTTAACTCAACATGTTTCAGGGTTTCTCTACAACGATGTTATCTACAACACATTTTTTGTGGTCCCTTGAGTTTCGTTGTAGAGAAAGAGTCCATCTGAATACCCATTGAGGTCAGAATTGAAGCTTGGGATTATAAAAAAAAAAAACTGATGTGGACTTTCAGCTAAAATTTTTCGTAACCCGATATTGTCATGTAACCGTCTCACAACACGTGGAAAAGTTGTGTTGATTAGCGTTGAAAAAAAAGAGTGCGTCAATTTTTTTCAAATGATAACACATTCGTACGTACATCGAATGCAATCCTCTTCAATGATAAACTGTGGATAAAGACACAATTGATTTTATTTTCAAACGTGCCGGCAGAATTTGGATCATCAGGTTTAAACACACTTTCAAAATTCACTCAGTCCAAAACGAGTTTTCTCGTGTTTTCAATGCGTAATCTAATTATAATTTCTGCGCTCAGTTCAGGTCATTAATTGAATGTTATAATGCCATGTAGTGTAAAGATTATAGACGATTCAATGAGTCATTGATCAATTGAATGAAGGCACATTCTTGGGGCACCGTTTTTTCTTGCGATTTCCAGAGGCTGTTTGATTTGTTTGAGGTCAGAATTGAAGCTTAAGATTATAAAAAAAAATAATGATGTGGGCTTTCAGCTAAAATTTTTCGTAAGCCGGTATTGTCATTCATTTTTGCTAATTAATCGAGATAAAATCTCTGAAGAAAAGGCAGAATCGTGAATTTTGAATTTAAAATGACGACAAGCACTTGGATTAGAAGCTCTTAATCTGATACTGTGCTTTTCGGAGCACGTTTCGCTTCATAATAAATTTTCAAGGGCTCCGCGGAACCTCGAGAAAAGTTGTGGAGGACAGATCCAAGGGGCTCCGTCACAAATTTGTATTTCAACCGGGGCTCCGGGAGAGAAATCTGTGTACAATATTTTAAAAATTCTCAATTGAAACAATTAAAGGAAAGTTGATTAGGCCTGACGTAGAAGGACGATTTGAGACTTTTTGCGTAACTTGCGCTCGAAAAAAGAATTGCCTTATTTCCGTACTCAGATGATTCATTCCGAACACAATCCTTCGAACTGCTGATTTTAGAATTGAGATCCTTTCGAATCGGGAATAAAAAAAATTTGCTGAAATTTAATTCAGGGGGTAAAATCTGTAGCACTCAAATAAATTTTCATGTGATTAAATGACCAAGGTAAACTTTCAAGAATCTTTTACTTTCATTTGCATGTCAAATTCTCCTCGCGGGAAACATTTATGTTCTAAGCCTTCGCTAAATTTAAAGCCTTTTTGGTGATCCTATACTGTACTATTATACTAGAACAGGTTGTATTGCATACAATGCTTTCAGGTTGTGAAACAAGTAATCTTGTGGGATCACTCTCCTCATTTCGAAGAAGTGGTGGGGGGTTGATGGAAACAAAATACTGCATGTAACTCATGAAACACTGGCTCATTTCGCCTTGATCCCGACAGCGTTTACGTGTGCCAATTCGAAGCGTTGCGAAAAAGTTAAACTTGAGGTAGACCCTTGAGGTGGAATTATGAAAGAGAATAATCCACTCGCTTTTGCAAAATCCACAGACGGTTACCGAATTTATTTTTATGGCACTTTTTTAACGTTGGTGTAATGTCAACTAATCACATTACATCACGTCAGTTTATCTAGCGCTAGGGATTAAAATAATGCAGCATCTTAAAATCGAATGATTCTGTTTTTTTTTCACATGATTACATGGAGAGTATCTGTTGTCCTCAGTTCGCCAGATTTTTTGAAAGAACCTTTAACATTCAATGATTCCCGAATTTTAAAACCGCTCATCATCAGTGTACGTATATCGATTATTTTTCTGCGAAAATAAAATCAAAAACTAGCTCAACAACAAAAGCCGTTCTAACTACGAAGAAAATCAAGGAAAATGATTGAAGATCGGTTATTGATATTTCACTGGAATTTTTGTAGCTCCCATAGTTGGGTCTCTTTGCGAGAGAAGGAGAATATTTTCTGCTAAAGCAGCACCCTTTTTCATCTGTTGTTGCCGAATGCAAGTGGGAAATTTCGCAGTTATTTGCCGGCCAATAAAATAGCCCCAGCACCGACTTTCGGCCGAAAAACGTCTGTGTTCAAAGGTGACCCGAAGTGCTATCGTACTTTCCGGATTTTCTACCAACGAGTTTTACCCAGCGTAAGTTGCTAAATGTGTTCAGAGAAAATGTTCGAGGACGGCGTGAAAGGCATCGCTGGAAAATTTATCCAGAGCCTTATTTTAACAAATGGGCCGAAAAAATTTGACAGGACGCTAGACATTTGTTGCACAACTACTGTGTATATGGTCAACACTATACAGTACCTGTATTTTTCTTAGAATGTACGCAATTCCTGATTTCGACCAAAACAATTTTTTCCACCAACCCGCTTCAACTGTATCCTTTAATGACCAGCACATCTGGTTGTTCGTCGATTGCCAATTTTGAGCTCTGGTGATAGCTGGCGGAAAATACCTCGGTTCATGAAAAAGCTTGCGATATGATCGTTGCTTAAATTGAAAAACAATAATTCCCTTCTGAGAAATATCCTTGTTGTATATTGTACTTCCGTGATACTCAACCGTACTCGCTAGCTACAACAATTGTGGCGGCTTTTTGTTACATCACCTGCCTTATTTTCTCAAGAAGGAATTTTACAAAATAATTTCAAGGGATATGAGCGTATAAATTGGAAAAAATAAGCGTTTCAGGATACGTTTCTGACTACGATGATTCTACTTTGTAAACGAATTACTCGATTTACCATCGCTGTGTAGAAACTGTCAAGGTGAAACGTCAAGAATCCATGCATCTTCGTAGTTCAGTAAAGTTTCTATTCAGAATTTTTCTTCTGCAACTGGACCCCCTCTCTCTGGAACGATCTTGTCTACAACGATTTTCTCTGTAAAACAAATTTTTTTCTGGTCCAGCAGGGTCAACTCCACATGTTTTAGGGTTTCTGTGCAACGAAGTTATCTCTACAACACATTTTTTTTGTCCCTTGAGTTTGGTTGTAGAGAAAGAGTCCATCTGAATACCCATTGAGGTCAGAATTGAAGCTTAAGATTATTAAAAAAAAATATACCGATGTGGGCTTTCAGCTAAAAATTTTCGTAAGCCGATATTGTCATGTAACCGTCTCACAACACGTGGAAAAGCTGTGTTGAGTAGCGTTGAAAAAAAAGAGTGCGTCAATTTTTTTCAAATGATCACACATTCGTGCGTACATCGAATGCAATCCTCTTCAATGATAAACTGTGGATAAAGACACGATTGATTTTATTTTCAAACGTGCCGGCAGAATTTGGATCATCAGGTTTGAACACACTTTCAAAATGCAATCAGTCCAAAACGAGTTTTCTCGTGTTTTCAA